CCAGGGCTCGCTGGTGTATTGACTGAGATCTGTCAGTGGGGCTTCAGATTATAAGGCCACAGTGGGAATTGCATCGATGATAAATGACGGAACTTTTATAAAAAGAACAACAACACAACTAAGGTCAATTTCCAATGCCAGTGGCGTCATACTTGCCTTGCAATAAAAATTATTTAAGCCGTTGCACCAGTCCCTTCCTCTCAGCCCTATTTGCATGTCTAGCAACCAACATCCCTTCAACAGGCAGAAAATTACACGGGTGAGCAGCAGGAACTGTGTGCGTTGAACATGCTGGTGTGGTTAGGAGCATCAAGCTGGGGCTGAGAAGACCCAGGTCTGAATCCTGACTCAGCCAGATTGATCCTGCACCAGTCACTATGTCTCAGCCCAGCCAACCTCGCAGGGTCGTTGTGAGGCTAAAAAAGAAAGGAGATATGACTGTCCTCAGGAATTTTTCAAGAAGGATGGGGTGGGGCTAAAGCAAAACATTGAAAGTGGTGAGCAGGCTGGTCTCTCACAGAAAAGGAGAAGAATATGGTCAGTGTAGATTTTATCCCCAATCTCAGGTTCTGCATTTGCTAGAAACTTAAATCTAAAAGAAATACAAAAGCTGTTTGTCTGGAGATTGTCCAGAGAAGCCATCCCAAGTTCCTTAGATTATTGATAGGATAAAAAGTTAATAATTTACATCTGGGCAGCTTTCAGCACATATAAAAACATAATAAGACGTCAGACATTGAAAGCTGCTCAATATAGGGCTGGCTTCAGATGTCTTCTAAAAGTTGTGTAGTTCTTTATCTCCTTGACATCTGGTGGGAGGGTGTTCCGCAGGGTGTTCCGCCACTACCAAGAAAGCCCTCCGTTTTCATTGCAGATTCGTAGACTCTCTCCTTGTCCCTAAAAACTGTTTCTGAGACCGAACTCATTCCTTGCCAGGGGACATTTCTGCTGAACGCGTCTGTGCCATGCTCTTAACACATAAGAGAGTTTTCACAAGTCCTGACATTTACAGAATTATACTCGGGATGCTTATTGAAATTCCCTGTTCATAGATTCAGTGTTTGCTTCTCACTTGCTCGCTACTGAGAAGGGAGCAGGTATTATCTATCTAGTTCATGGTTCCAAATTACAGGATAATGAGAGAAATTTGAGGAGTTTGATGTGTGGGGCTTTTCCTTCCTGGTTGGTTCTCCCCCAAAAAAGAATTGTGATAGACTTCCTGACACACCTTAGTCTGTTCAACTGTTTGGGGATATTTCTGAGCCCCAGGAAATTGAAAATCATTTGCATATTGTTGTACAGACCAGAGTGACGGTGTGGATGTCTTCATTTGATTTGAATTACCTGGTTTATTTCTTCACACCTACACATACACACACCCCGTTCTCCAGTTCAGTGAAGATGTCATCTGAGCATGCTCAATGGCTGTCTGAAATGTACACACCTCAGTTCAACCATGGCTTCCCTTTTCAAAATGGGCCAATGGGCCATTCTAGTCCAGAATCCTGTTCTCACAGTGGCCAACCAGATGCCTAAGGGAAACCCACAAGCAGGACCCAAACACAAGATCCCCTCCTGTGGCTTCCAGCAACTGGTATTCATAAGCATCACTGCTTCCAATCATGGAGGCAGAGTATAGTCATTGTGCCTAAAGGTAAAGGTAAAGGTAAAGGGACCCCTGACCATTAGGTCCAGTTGTGGCTGACTTTGGGGTTGTGGCTCTCATCTCGCTTCATTGGCCAAGGGAGCCAGCATACAGCTTCCGGGTCATGTGGCCAGCATAACTAAGCTGCTTCTGGCGAACCAGAGCAGCGCACGGAAACGCCGTTTACCTTCCCGCTGGAGCGGTACCTATTTATCTACTTGCACTTTGACGTGCTTTTGAACTGCTAGGTTGGCAGGAGCAGGAGCAGGGACCGAGCAACAGGAGCTCACCCTGTTGCGGGGATTCGAACCGCCGACCTTCTGATCAGCAAGTCCTAGGCTCTGTGGTTTAACCCACAGCGCCACCCGTGTCCCATTGTGGCTAGTAGCCATCAAAATCCTAATCTTCTTCTAACGCCAACTAAGTTGGTGTCCATCACCGTCTCTTGTGGGAAGGAGTTCCACAGTCTGATTATGCGCTATATGAAGACTGAACCCAGGACCTTCTGGATGCAAAGCAGATGCTCTCCCACTGAATGACCTCCCCTAAACATCTTAGTGGGGGAATGTTACTCATAGCTCTGCACCCTACAAAACACCACAAGGTGGGGATCCAAATTTTCCTATTGGCGGCCTGTTCTATGGAGTGCCCTTCCCTCTGCCATATATAAAGCATCATCCATCAGCTGCTTCAAACATTTTAAAGGCATGCATATTTTTTTTGGTCATGCCTTCCCTGACCCATGAGGTTGGACTCTGTTCTTGCCAGATTTCTGGGTTTTGTTTTTGTTTTTTCAATGACTATTGTTTCACTATTTTCGTGCAAGCATTTTCCTGCACCACTTAAGAGCTTTTTAAAAAAACAAACAAAACAAAAACAGGCGGTTCAGAAATGCTTCTGAAGATAAAAATAAATAAATGTGCAAAACTGTCAGCGCAGAGGACAGGATCTCTGGATCATTCACACGACACTTACCTGTCAGTGAAAGCCATTTGCACATCAAGATAAATCTGCCTGCAGCTGGATCATAATCACACACACACACACACACACACACACACACGTCAATAAGTTTGAATCACTCATCTTTATTTCTCTTTATTTAGAAGATTCCCCATCTTGCACCTCATTCAGAATAGCTGCGGCCTGGGATGTGATGGATTGAATTGTAATAAAACTGCAATTTATCATCAAACCCAACAACAACAAAAGAGTTAAGAGCAGAACGGGGAGTCCAAAGAGGTCATGCACAGCCCTCCCCACAGTGCAGCAATTTAGCAAAAAAAACTGTTATAGTGAAGGATTGAAACCTAGCAGGAGGCATGAATGAGGTGATAGAATGGACCATACCACTTCAGACTGCAGGTGGGTGATGTCATTTTTGTAAAAAGCACCTCCCTGCAATTAATCCTTGCAGATGGAGGGGAGGGGAACAGCACAAGGGAGAAAAGGGTTCTGTTTAGGCCACCAGGCTTTGTTTCATACTTAACAGGGAGAGTTTTTCCACAAGGGAGCATTCAAAACTGCAGTTCTGCCCCCTGTGAAATGGTGCAGTCCATGCTGCCACCTGAGGACCCCCCCATGGCCATCTCTCAAACTGATGAGTGGGTCAGAAAAGGCCACACTGTCCAGCCAGCCTTGTAAGTCTGATCAAGATCTCTCTCTCTCTCTCTGAAAGGGAAGCATTGGCTTCTGGGAAATTTTCCAGGGGCCACATGCAGGCAGTGAGCAGGGCCAGAAGCAAAAATGGGCAGAGAGGAAAAAAAGTGAGAATGTTACCTTTGTGCAACAGGGCTATCATTATTATAACATTTATACCCTGCAGTTTATTTTAATATTGTATTTTTAGATTGGTGTCACCCACCCCAAGTTCTTAGATGAAGAAATATTAATACTACTGCTAATACAACTAATAAAGATACTATTCAGTACTGGAGCAGATGTCATTTTTTACTCTGGACTTTAATATCTTTATTCCCTCCCCTTTAAAAGGAAATAATGTGTACTACTGATCTTCCCGCACATGGGAGAAATTGATCTTTTAGTGCGGCAGCATCTATCCCCTGGAACTGTCTGCCTCTTGATATTAGACGGGCACCTCTGCTGTACAGCTTTCAATTTCTGTTAAAAACTCCCCCTCCCCAGCAAGCACATAATAAACCTATTGATTTCCGCCCTACATTTCAATGAATTAATTACATTTACATTCTTAAAGTCTACTTTTATAGCAATTTTAAAGTGAATATTCTACATCATATGTTATATTTTTTGGCATCAAGCAATATTTACATCTTGTTAAATAAAGTCTGGGTTGTGTGTGTGTGGCATTCACAGCCCAAACTGAATGTGCCCCTGGGGATCAAACCTAGGACCTTATAACTTCGGTCCATCTGACTTACTCTGAGGGTCATGGGTTCGAGTTTCACGTTGAGCAAAAGATTCCTGCATTGCAGGGGGTTGGACTAGATGACCCTCAAGGTCCCTTCCAACTCTACAGGTCTATGATTCTATGGTTGCAGCTCTCCAGGGTTCCAGCTGCTTCCACCCTGGTCTCCCTCCTCCAACACTCTAGCCACTATGCCAGGGGTCAGCAAACTTTTTCAGCAGGGGGGCGGGTCCACTGTCCTTCAGACCTTGTGGGGGGCCGGACTATATTTTGAAAAAAATAAATGAACGAATTCCTATGCTCCACAAATTACCCAGAGATGCATTTTAAATAAAAGCACACATTCTACTCGTGTAAAAACACGCCGGTTCCGATTTAGAAGGCGATTGGGCCGGATCCGGCCCCCGCTTCTTAGTTTGCCTACCCATGCACTACGCCATGCTGGCTCAGTCTACTCTGACTGGCAGAGGTTCGCCAGGGCACCCTACCCAGAGATGCTGCCAGGGGCTTTCTGCGTGCCAAGCAGGTGTTCCTTACCTCTGAGTTACCGCCCTTTCCCATTAAGACCCAGAGTATTAACGCCTCCAGCCCCGAACACGGGCCGGCAGCTGCTCCCCCGGCTTTCCGAGGCAGGGGTGTTTTCTGGATCCCTGCTTGGAGACGCCGGGGATTGCAAGCGGGTCCTTCTGCATTCAAAGCACGCGCGCTCTGCCACCGAGCGCAAACCCTCCCCCGGAGACCGTATACACAGCCTTATACCTCCCCCCCCCCGCTCCAAAATGTGTACGCGAGTGTGCAAACGCATCCTGACCCTGGAATGGGGGGGGGGCGTGCACACGGCGGCAGAAACTCTGGGGGAAACACGTGATGGGAGGAAAAGCGGGGGCCCGGAGGAGGAGGAGGGGGGGTGGGCGGCTGGCGGGGGGCGGAGGGAGTTTCTCCGGCGCTCGCCGTTCCCGGCAGAGAGCTCAGATCGGCGCAGCCTCGCCGCGGAGGAGGACCCGGGAGGCGAGGCAGGAGCCAGCCGGAGCGGCGCTTCTCCCCGGGCTCGGCTCGGCGCTCGCCCGGGCCGGCTCCTGCCTCGGACGCCCCTTCGCAGGCCGGGCCTTCGGATCGCCTCCTCGGACGCCCCGGCGGAGAAGCAGGAGCGCTTTGGATTATAGCAGCGCCACCCCCCAAATCGCCCCCAACACTTTTTGGTGTGGCGGGGCTCTCTTGTTTTCTATCCTCTCTACTTTTTTCTCTGCCCCCCCATTTTTAATTGGGGGGGATTTGATTTTTTCCTATTGGGGCTTTGCCATTTTTATTGGGGGGGGGCTCTAAGATTTTTTTTAAAAGGGGCTTTGCATCAAGACTTCGCCGGCTGCCCTGTTCTCTCCCCACATCCATCCGTTTGTATTCCCCCCCCCGCCCAGATTCCCCTCCTGCCATTATTACTGCCTAACACCCCCCAATCGCCTCCCCCCCGATTCTTTCGAACCAATTTCGCCAGGGTTTGCACGTGGGATTCGCTCCCCCTCCCTCTCGCCCCAAGCTTCTTGATATATATTTTTTTTGGTGGGGGTAGACAAAAAGGGGGGACCCTCCCCCCCTTGGGTGGAAATCTGGGGTGGCTCGAGGAAGGAGCAGGTGGGACCCCCTCCTTGGCCCATCTCCCTCTGGACCCCCCACCTTTGTCTCCGGGGTGGCCCCGCCCCTTACCTCGCCCCCCCTTCCCCACGTCTCGGCTTGGGCTCGTCTTTCCGTTCGCACGTGCTTGGATTTCGCTTCTGCCCGCTCCACGCCTCGACCCGGATTCCGCCATGGCCGCCTCGGCGGGGAGGGCTCGCTCCGGACCCGCCGCCCTTTTCTGCTGCATCGGGGCTCTGATCAGCCATGGTGAGTTTCCCCCCTATGCCGGATGCGGAGGGAGGACGGGGCGGGTTTCGTCCCTTGGCTCCGGAGCATGCTTTTTGGAAACCAGAAACAATTTGGAAAGACGAGAGTGTCTCTGGGCCTGTGCAGAGAGCACCCCGGCCCAACTTGGATTGCATTTTGGGGGGCTAGGCGCTAGCAGACAAGCGAGCTGTTCTTTCGTGGTCCGGAAATGTAGGAGAAAGGTGTGTGTGTGGGGGGGGGTATATACCTCGGGGTATGTGCAGAGTGCGTTTTGGAGCCAGTCCAACAAGCATCCGTGGAACACCCCCCCCCCTTGAGCAGACCAAGTGTCGTGTTGGTTGTTGTCTGGGGAAACAGAGAAATGTTTCGATTTCCCCTGGGCATCTGAGCATTTGCAGAGTGTATTTCGATTACCGCTGTCTGCAGAAATGTGAAGCTGATGAATGGACTTCTGGGGTCGGTGTAGCTGCTAGACTTGACGTGAGTCTCTCTGAGAGGAGTGGGGTGGCGTCCATGAACCCCAAATTCAGGCGTTTGTCTCCCTCTCTCCTCCCTCCCTTTCATTGAAGCTGGAACTCCAGACTTGTTCTGAAGGAGTGGGGCTCAGATCTGGGACGCAGCGACACAACTTCAAAAAGGCGGCTCTGAAAACATGTGGAGTGGTTTGAGGCTAACAAGGAAAGGAGCACGGAGCATGTACAGAGTGCCTTCCTCTCCTCGCACCAAGGTTGAGAGCAAGCCGAGGCCTATATCAACCCCTTGATTTTAATGTTGGGTCTCAGCCTCGGTTCCATGAAGCGGAGCCTCTGAGCATAAGCAGAGGGCTTTCCCTCACTCCAACCATCCTGCTGTCGAAATTAACTCTTGACTGGCTGGCTTCTTAGCAGATGTGGAAAAACCCCAAAGGTTTTTCTGGTTTCTGCCCCTTTTGAAGCACTTCACCCATGGGGGGGGGGCCACAAAAGCAACACAGCTGTCCCCTTGCTGCTGGTCCCTGGAGCAGCTTATCTTTACAGGTAGACTACTTCTGGACCTGAAGGTTCTACATACCTTCTTTATCAACCCCCTCCCTTCCTTCTTTGCAGCAGGGGCTATTTCATTCTTGGGAGTGGGATGCTCCCTGTTCATAAGGAGAAAGAGGGGCTTGCCTCTTGGTCTTCCCTGACACAACTTTTGCTATCACGTCCTGTCTCAATGGAAGAGGTTTGTGAATATCTGCATTTATTTATTTTTAAAAAATAAGCTTAATATAATGGCAGGTTATTTGCCCCTCTGATTGGAAGAGGGAAGGGAAGAATGTCAGTGCTGGGGGGGGGGAGAGACCATGTAGACATGGTTGAATCTGAGATCACACCCTCCCGCTCAAAGATTAATGGCTGTGAAACAAGTTTCCTCCCCTGGCTTCTCTGTGATAATTGCTGGAGTGGTTCTGAACCTCCTCCTGACTTCCCGCGGCACCAAAAAGGACCCCTCTCCCCATTTAAACAGCCCCTTGATGGTGTGGCAGGGTCCTCAACGTGGTTCATTGGCAGAGAAGTTCCAAGCAGATAGGTCCAGGGGTTCAGCTATCCTGAATCCCTGCCCAGGATGTTTGTGTGTGGAGGCTCGCTGAGGACAAGGCACTCTGCACATGCCTAGAGGCCGTGTTGTGTTGTGGGGTTTTAAGCCCTTTCAGGGGAAGGAATCGGTACATGGCGGTGTGTCATTCGGAGTGTACACTTGCATCTGGCTTCTTGAGCTTAGACTGGCACCTTCTCTTACCCACTTCCTTTGTGTATCCATTCTTTCCACCCCTAAAGTGCTCAAGTTGCCCCTGCCCTCACGCCAACCCTGTGAGGTAAGCTGAGGACAGCAACCGTGCGCTCCTGGTAGGGATTTCAACCAGGATCTGCCCAGGCCTTCTCTGACACTCTTTAAACACTACCTCACCCTGGGCTTGAATGCGTTTACACTGAGACCCCAGCTTCATTTGTGTGGGGTTTTTTTTTTGGGGGGGGGGACAACGACCACAGAGAGTTTGTGGGTGTCTCTTGCAACCTTGCACCTGAATCACCCCTTCCCTCTAGAACTGCAAAACTGCTAGTAGCCGCTAGGGATTTTGGCACCATCATTCTGCCCAGGGAGTGGATTCCCTGATCTGTCTGCAGTGGACCACGGGCAATGCTATGTATTCAACACCCCCTTACTTTTCCTCTTTGCAAACTGGCATTTTGGGGGTTCACTGTTCTAGGTGTGTGTGTGTCGGTCAGAGACAGGTTGGATTGCATGAGAAACACTTCTTTCTCTGTGGTGCTTATAATACCGGGTGCAATTCAGGACCTGTGTATGGAGCAAAGGAAAACAGAAATATTGCTGTGTGTTTAATATTGCTATGTGTTTCTGGCAGATCTGGGGCAGGTGTACGGCGCCCCATTTCCCCCCCCCCCAATTGGTTTTTGTGTGTGTGCAAAGGGCTCTCTGGAAGGCACAACGTCAGGGGGTGTTCATGGTGTGTGGTGTGTGTGGGACTTCTTGGAAGCAATGATTCCCCCCCAACACAAACACATGAAGACATTTCCTGTCGTGTAACAGTGGCTCCCTATACAAATCTTTGCACCTTTCCGTTGGGAAAGTCTAGTCTGGTACACAGCAATCGAGAAAGACGAGACTGCCTGCCTTCTTTTTTACTCATCCTTTTTGCAGGAAAGAAGGGAAGGAAGGTGGGGAGAGGGCTTTACTCATGGGGGGGGGGGAACGCATGCTGGTGAAGTTGTCAGTGGGGCTGAGCTTCCATCTCCCCTCCTCCCCGAACTGTGCATTTCAAGGGAATCTGGATTTATCACAGGTCTGGGGGGAAACGCTCACGTCGCTTTGCCAGAAGAGGCTGGCGATGGGTTACATCCAGCCAGAGGAATGAGGGAACTGATTTGGTCTCTCATCTGCCCATTTCTTTAACGTTGGAGAGGACCCGGTGTTTTGTTCCTGCAGACCTGAACCGAATCTGCACCCCAGTCTTGGTGGGGTGGCAACTTTCCCCTTTTTGCTCCGCCGCCCTCCAGTTTTCCTCCTCTTCCCGCATCACCCCTCTTGTGCACAGCCCTGTAGTGTGTCTGCTATGTGCATACAGCTAGCTATTCCAGCAGCTGCCTCTTCTCCTTGCACTGTGGAAGGGTGTGTGTTTGTGTGTGTGAGTGGGGGGGGGGGGAATCAGCTTGCTGCCCCCCTTTCCTTCCTCTCCCCCCACACCCAGCCAAACCCCAGGAATGGGAATGGAGCCCCGAGCGACAGCAATCTATGGCATCGCATTATAAAAACGATTAATAATATATCACGGCGCAGCGTTCAAAAGCTCTGGGTCGGAGCGCGGGGCTTTACTGCCTGCGTCGCTTTCTACGCGCTTAAGTTTACAAGTAGGCTGGGAGCTCATTGGTGGGGGCCTCCTTCCCCCCTCCCTGGGCGAGCAGATGGCAGATGAGTCTGGGGATGATGGTGGGGACAGGAGCTGGCTGCAAATTGCAGCGGACTCTCCTTCTTGGCCGCGGTGATGTGTGTTCATTGGAGAGGGTTGCTATATTTAATGTTTTCGAGCTGTGATTGCTTGAGGTCGAAATCGGTGTGTATGTGTGCTTGGGGACCCACCCCACAAATAAATGCTCCCGCTCGTCTTCTCTCGCCTTGTATGCTTTCATATGAATCATCCATATCTCCCACCCCCCACTCTGAATCTCAGCCCTTGAAAATTGAGAGCGATGAAAAGGAAGGCTGTTTTCTGAGCTGCAACTGGTCCTTGGTGGTGGTCACTGATAAAAACGGAAGAGTGTTCTGGATCAGGCCAAGGGACAGCAGTTCTGGCAGCAGTGAACCACATGCCTCTTCTAGTGAAACCAGCAAGCAGGATTTAAGCACAAGAGTCCTCTCCCCTCCTGTGGTTTCCAGCAAGTGGTATTCAGAAGCACTGCTGCCTCCAACTGTGGAGGGGGAGCATAGCCTTTTGCTCTTCCATTAATTTGGCCGATCCTCTTTTTAAGCCATCCAAGTTGGTGGCTGTCACTGCCTCCTGTGGGAGGGAGTTCCATAGTTTAGCCATGTGCTGCATGAATTAATGGCTAACTGACGGGTGGAATCTGCCACCCCAAGAATGTGAGGATGGCCGAAAGAACAGACTGCTTTGAAAAAGATGAGCTTGACAAATTCGTGGAGGACCAACCCAGCCACAGCAATTGGCCAGGATGTGACTCCTTATCCAGTGAAGGCTCCCCCCTGTCCAGATGCAGTATACCAGATATTTGTGGGGACAAACAAGGCTGCCAAGAAGAGTCCTTTGGCATGAAACCTGCTTGAATGCCAAAGAGGGTTTCAGTTTGCTCCACTGGAGTAGCTATATGCAGGTGGGGAACTTGCAGATGTGTTCCGGACCCCCTGTGAACCAGCTGCCAGTGGCAGACTTTGGGTTTTAAAGTTTCAGCAGCACCCTGTGCACTGCCAAAATTCAGCACCCCACCGCCTTTTACCTTCCATAGTTCAGTGTTGTTGTGGCACCCCCTGCGATGCCCTCTCGGCTCGGCGCCCAGTGAACCGGTTGCACTCCTCTAAAATCTGCCTCTGCAGCTGCACCCTCCTTGCTCTCTTCCTGTTCCAGACTTTCAGTCGCTATGTGTTGCAGAAGAATCAGCAGCAGAATCCTAAGACCCAGGTGGGGAACCTGAAGCCAAGGGGCCAAATGCACCCCAGCCGCACACCCTCTTCCCAGCCACGCCTCTCACTGGCCCCAGTGTTTTTGCTTGGCTGGACTGTGTCCTTGAACTCTTGACAACGCCTCTCACTTGTCTGGCTGGAGGATCAAGAGGGGTGTGTAGAAACTCGCTTGGGTAACATCTGGATTTGTTGCTGCTCCCCTTTCCCCTCCCCGGCCGTGCTCACCGCTGGCATTTGGCCTTCCCAGAAGGGGATGTAGCCCTTCTTGGACCCACAGAAGATCCCCAGCCCTGCTGTAGAGCATCAAACGTTGACCCTTTAATTAC